TTATTAATGTCCTCATGTGCCACTTTTTTTTTAGATTTCCACTTCAAGATCCTTGTATTTTGATAGTGCTTTTGAAGATATTCAAAGATACATTGTAATCTGCAGGAGCTGCCATGCCAATAAGAAAAGATATTCTGTTTTTGCAGTCTTTGATCTGTTTAATACAAGCTCCTACCGAGTTATTACCCGAAACCTGGAGTAAGACAAGGTAGTAAATATATGCATTCTTTTTGCCCAAATTCTGATGTTAAATGATACTCAACATGTAAAGTTTTTATATTGCCTTTACATTGTTAATAAATAGTCACCTGGATAAATGAGTAGTACACTTTTCTTACTCTTTTTAAACAAGAGCTGCCATGGATTTTGTCAATATATGTGTCTACACTTTTATGATCGTACCCAGGACTCCAGTTATTATAGATATAACAGTAATTTTAAGGTGCCACCTTTTTTCAATTTCAATATCCTTATATTTATATATTATGTCATATTCTTTAACACATATATTTTTATCTGATGTCACTGTCATATGTATAAGAAGGCATTCTTTGTTGTTTTTAATTACAGTTTTTGTTCTATTAGCTTTTAAATGTCAGTAGGAATGGTAAAATAATGACCACATAGCCTTCTATAACTGTTTCAGGTTCAGATTATTTTAGGCACATGTGGTGCACTGTAATACGGGTATATACCCCAATGAATATACTGCCTAATCTTATGCCTATCTTTGTATTCCTTCAGTGTTAAGGTTGGACATCCAGGCACTAAGTGATAAATAGTGACTATATTTTTTATTATCTCTTCTTTGTTACAGTTTTTCGTTTTCAACCGGAGATCTTGCATTATGGATATTCGCCATCAAGTCGTATGACTTCACACACATAGCACCTTTCATAAAATATTTGCATTATAAAGCAACGCAGACTTCTAAAGCAATGGCATACTGGACTTTATTATTATTATTATTATTATTTGTATATGTTTTGTTTCCCGCTTTGTATCATGCAGAGTCGGGTCCAAACTATGGTCCTTAGGCCCTATAGAAGAATTGTCGTTTTTTCTTAGTATATGCCATGTTCCTAGTATGACAATCTTCTGGGCAACTGTTGATATTACCTGCGACACTGTTAGTAAAATTGTTCATTCCTTTTCTCACGAGGCCCAGTGCTCTGATTACTATTGGTACAGTCTCAGTCTTCACTCTCCACATCCTGTTAAGTTCTCCAGGTCCTTGTATTCGAACAATTTCTCGATAATTTTCATGGGGGTGTTTATCTCAGATGCTACTTCTATGTTAATAACCATACAATTCCTGAATTTCTTGTCTTTTATGTTAATATCAGGTCTGTTGGGTTTTTAATTGCCTCTCAGTTTGAATTGGCATTTCACAGAGGATAGTTATTGTTATTATTACTTTTGTTTCCTTTGATTTCTGGCGTTTACACATTTCTTTCCGGATCCCGCCCAGGGACCTAAGGTTAGAAATGGCATCATGACACTTTCCACTGACAGGAAAAAAAATACATAGATAAAGCCCTTCGTAAAGTGCTGGCTGTACTTGTCAGAACATTTTTTTGCATCTCTTTGCGGCATGGACTTCCAGGAATCCCTTCAATTAGTCTACTGGAATCTTTTCCAACCAATCCTAGGGTTCCAACTACAACAGGGATTGCTGATGTTCCCATGTGCCACATTTTTGAGATTTCTATTTCAAGGTCCTGGTATTTTGACAGCTTTTTGAATATCTTCAAAGATACATTGCTGTCTGCAGGGACTGCCATATCAATAAGGAGGCACTTTTTTTGTTTGTGGTCATTAATAACAATGTCTGGGCGGTTGGCTTTGATTGTTCTGTCAGTGTGAATTGTGTAGTACCATAGAATTGTAACAGGTCCTATCTCCGTAACCGGGTCATGGTGGTGTTCATACCAGTTTCTTTCAGTTTCCTACGGTAGAAGTTGCATATTTTCCAGTGCAGATATTGGCCCACTCTGTCATGCCGGGTTTTATATTCAGTGGGTCCCAATATCGTGCAACCTGATACAAGATGATCAATCGTTTCTGGATATTTATCACAGAATCTGCATTTTGGGCTAACACAATGTTTTAATATATGTGCTTGATAATTTCTAGTTAACAAGCATTGGTCCTGTGAAGCAAGGATAAAACCTTCAGTTTCAGCTTTCAACCCTGCACTACGTAGCCACTGATGGGTACGGGTTTTGTCTACGTCAGCTGGTTTGGTACGGGCAGAGTATTGGCCATGAAGCGGTTTATCTTGCCATTGTTTCTGTATCTTGTCGGTTGCATTTGTCTTTGCTTTCTTTTTTAAGTATTTTGCAGCTTCAGTCAGTGTACTGTGCTTTACTTGTATTTCTGTGCCCATTTGAAACTCCATTTTGAATTTGTTGGCTTCCTTTACTACGGAGTAAAGACGCTTACTACTTTCATGTTCCTTGATAAATACCATACTGTAGTTTCCAAGTATCTTTGGAGGCCAATTGTTGTAGTTTTGTAGGACAGTTCTAGTTGAACTAATCCTCTGCCTCCTTCGGATCTGGGCATATACAGACGATCAACATCAGCTTTGGGATGATGCATGCGGTAGCAAGTGAGAAGCTTTTTCGTTTTGGTGTCCATTCGCTTAGTTTCAGCTATGGTCCAGTTAAGGACATTAAAGCTGTATTGCACCACAGGGGCAGCCAAGGTGCTTATGGCTGATATTCTGTTTTTTGAGTTTAACTCGGTATTTAGTACCAGACGTACACGCCTGTAGTACTCTTTTCTTACCTTCTCCTTCATTTTCTTATTTATTTTGCAACCATAGCTACTGTTGTTCAGATCATGCCTAAGGGGGGTTAAGGACAAACAAAACAGAAGGGGTGACAGAGAGTCTCCTTGAAAGATTCCACGTCGGATATTTAGACGGTTAGATATGGCAGTGCCTCTGGTGTGACTAAGGTATAGTTTGGTGTTCCACATTCCCATGCTGTGCTTAAGGAAATTTAATACCACAGGGGAGACTTTGTACATTTCGAAAGTCTTAAGGATCCAAAAAGGCTTTTCGATAATCAATCCACGCTGCGCTAAGATTTCTACGTCGTCTCCTGCAATTTTCCAGGATCATTTTATTTATCAGTAGTTGACCTTTGCAGCCATATGAACCTCCCCTGCATCCCTTCTGTTCCAGCAGAAGAATGCTGTTTGTTTCGAAAAAGGAATAAGTACTGTTCGTCAGTACAGACGTGATCAACTTATACGTTGTGGAGAGACATGTTATCGGTCTATAATTTTTCGGGTCGTCTGTTTCATTTGTTTCTGGCATGAGGTATGTAATACTTTCGGTAATCCTTCCCGGGATTTTATTGGGATTATTTACAAGCGTTTATTATTATTATTATTTCTTCATTCATTCATATATTTTAATATATTTAGTTCACAGTGGAAATAAGTCAGCAGTTCAATTCCTAAATAAATCTAAAATCAAAGAACCCAAAAATTAAATCAAGGATTTTTCAATTTAATCTTGATTGATAAAGTTCTTTCTTTAAAGGACGCGGTTTAGATGCGTGAAAAAATGTTAATATACAAGAGATGCAATATGAGAATAGGCGTTCTGAAGCAACAAATTGAGAATATTTCCTAATTATTATTTGACTAGGAGTTCCTTTTTTTCTTAACTTCTATTGCAACTTCCTTGTTATCATTCTACCGTTGTTTCGTTTGGGTTTTGAATATTCTGTTTCAATATAATTTACATATTTATGTGTATAGTTTAGTTACTTTTAAGACGATTATAATGTCTAAAGTTTGAGATCGCCAAACGCTCACACATTCAAGGAATAGTAGTGCGCTTTCAGTTGATGTTTCAGCTTTTCCTCTATACCCAGGCATTGGGCAGATTTGATTATAATTTTTTTTAATCGTTTTGTATTTCAAGTGATGATAAAATGTATAAACGAATCGTTTCATATCATTCAACATGATTAATTCAAGCTTCTTAATGAAACAATTCAGATACAACCTATTCATGTCGTTTAAGATTTATTTTTCCACGTTAATCACTTTAAATGGCTATCCTGTTGGTTTGGTCTAAAATGCACCTAATGCATCACCTACAGTCAATAGGAGGCCCTATTAAAAAAAATTACAAGATCAAATATAAACAACTCATATTTACCTATCTTTGAACCAAAGTAATGCTTTTTTACTCAAATATAAACGACTACTATTTACTTATATCCGAACAGAGTAAACAGTAATAGACTCAAATATAAAAGACATCTATTTACCTATATACGAAGCAAGCAAATTGTTATGGACTCAGATATAAACGACGAGTATTTAATTCTCGTCGAGCCAAGTAAAGACTGATTTTGGTATTGAATAACGTAACAAGGGTTGTAGAATCAATCATTCTCGCCATTTTAAATGAGTATTAATTATTACAAATGACACATTGCAGTTTTCTGCAAACTTTTTTATTATTTTTCACCAGAAACTTTAAATCTTCATCGCTATTTAATGATTTTGGTCGACCTCTCTACCGGTTATTGAAATTAAAATCTCTACTTTAACGATCCTTGTAAGTAAACTTTCTGTAAGCCCACTAACATTTTTCCTAAATGCGAAACTTATATTTCTGACAGATTAAAAACTCATAGATATATGAAATAAGAAAATAATGTTTTGAAAGGTTTTCCATATTTGCCGAAAAGTATAAAAATTAATTGAATAAAATAAAAGATTTTTATTGATTTATTATTTCGTTTTCTATGGCTTTTCAACCCTTAGATTATAAGAATATCTTTAAAGATAATAATGATTTAGTGATATGTCTTACTAATTAACCCATACCTGGGGGAGAAGAGGTGGATTCATAACTTTTCCAAAGGTATTTGCAATAAGTCAATATAACGAAGTCAACGAGAATTGGAATTCGGTACTCCGATTAACAATTCCGAGCCATTATCCATTGCATCACCCGCACAACCAAGATTACACCCCCTGACCTTCCCAAGCGGTCACCCATCTGGGTACTGACCAAGCTCGTTGTTTTATAACTTAGGTGATCGTACGGGAACTGGTGATTCAATGTGATATGCACCCCCAACCCACCCAGGAAAAAAGTTATTCATGAATAATAAAGAAATAACATACTATTTTTTTTAAAAAAATATTAATTATGAATTAGGACGTCTAGAAATATGTCAATCTTAAAATCAAATCAGTAATTTTCACCTTATATATATATATATATATATATATATATATATATATATATATATATATATATACTCTGTGTCGAATTTTATAATGCAATCCGTAAAAATTTCAAGATCTATTTATAATTGCAATATATCGTACGAATTTCAGTTTATTTATCCTTATTAAAAATATTGATCTAGTATTTATGAAGCAAACAAATCCAGTGAAACAAGTTTTTATATAAATAAATCCAAAAGATTAAGCAGCAGAAAGAGTCAAATTTCATTATCTAATTCTATATTTTCTTAATAAATTTTATATTAACTAACAGTAAAATTTTCAGCATATTGTTTTGTTTATATATTAAGTAAAATGAAGTTTATAATATCCATTTTTATTAAATAATTACATTAATTTAGTTGGTTAGTTCATTTTCCACGGTTTATCAACTTATTGCATATTATTTAAAATAAAAAAAAATATATTTAGATTGTAAATTTTTTTTTTTAGATAATAATGGTTTAGTGAGTCTTACTAATTAACACATGTAAAAAAAAAAAGGTGACAAGTGAATATAACAAACCCAACGGGAATTGGAACTCGGCTCTCTGATTAACAATTCCGAGCCATTACTCCACCCGCATATCCAAGTTTACAACACCTGGTATTCCCTCGCGGTCACCCATCAAGATACTGACCGGGCTTGATGTGGCTTAATTTCGCTGAACAGTGTTTCAAAGTGATGTGGCCGTAAGCTCGGTTTGTTTATCTTATTGTAAATAAATATATATAACAGTATAGTTATAGATATCTATTTTTAACTTCCGACATATAAAGATGGCTATGGATTGTAAGGAAGATACAACATCGAAAGAGAAACAAAATATTGTATTTATTAAGTGATAGGAACACAATTTTCGAAATTGAAAAGGAAGTTGAATGCAGCTTACAGAACTATCAGAAAGGAAATGAAAAATAATGGCAAGATAACAACAAGAGAAATGAATGTCACAAAAAACAAAAAAAAAGAGATCTGTGAAAAAATAGTCATAAGCAAACAAAATGGATTAACCAGTAAGAATGTATTTGAAGAAGTTGGTGTTACAAATATATAGAGAGAGAAAATATTCCGAATATTACGGATATTGCTTTAATGCATGTAAGCAACCAAACATCAGAAAAAAAATGTGCGAAACGAACGAAAATGTACATTAAAACTGGTTTCTCAAATATGCTGTAAAACAGATTTCGCGTCCTAAATCAAGTGGTAAAATATGTGATCACTTGGCCTTCTTTAACAGTTATCCCTACGGGAAATTGAATTAAATTAACAACAGAATACATGAAAACCGATTTTTCAAGCTTTCTTTTCATCGACGTATATCCTCAGTGGACTAGACGGATGAAGCAAAGTTTGAATGGCTATTGGCAAAAACCGACCTCATAGGTTATCAACACGGTAGACGTAATGTGATATTTTAAGGTAGGATTACAGGTGAGAACTGGTTGGCCTATATCGAGTTTCAGATGGTGTTACGATGACAATTAAGATATACAGTATTTTATTTTTTTTATTTATTTATTTTTTTTTTTTTTTTTTGAAAGCACATACGTAACCATAGTTCGATGAGAAACCAAACGAAAACAGATGATTTTCATGCATGACAATGTTTCAGCGCATACAGCAAAGAAAACGAATGGATATCTGAATTAAATGGGACTCAAATGGCATCTACGGCAGAACGATATCTTGGTCGCTATTCTTGTAGATTTTTACTCATATAATGGGTTTGATCGCCAACAGTTGACTCGCTACAGTGACCGAGCCAGACTAAACTAAACATAGAACGCTAGCACACACATACACGTATATACGGTACACGGTACGCACGTGTGATTGTTTTTGTGTTTTTGTGTATTGGCATACCACATATAACATCCCATCAAATAAGATACACCTTATACCCCGGCGTTTGGTTTATCGGTACTAGGCACTCTGTTTGACACCTTCATTCTCAGAATTAAATATATATAAGTATAGATGCTATAATGAATAAATTATCATAATAAAATAAGTTTAAAATTAAAAATAAAAAAAACGCTATACACGTATGGAAGAATCATCAGTTGGATATCACTTCTTTCTTAAATACGCTTTGCAAAATTACAGGTGTGTTTTATACGTAGGGAAATTATTCAAACAACATTTCCTTTTCGTTAATTGAACTTGTGGTCTTGTTTGAAACCAAAAAGCGGTTTTTCTTCAAGTACGTCAGAGTCTACGGAGATTTCGATTTGTGAAAAAATAAGTTAAAGTAAAATACCTTCAAACTTTTAACATTACGACTACGAGTATCTACTTAAAAAAGCGAGTGAAAAAACTTACTTAACCTTACCTGATTATTGTAAGGGCGTCGATTTATAACTATTATTCAATCCAACACTACTTTCATTTTAAAACTTCCCATTTATCTGTACTTTAGAATACTTGTAAAATCTGTAATGCCTATTCATGTTATTTGAAGCAAAGGCACTCGTGGGAATGATTAAGTTAGGACGTGCTCACATCGTCTCTGTCAACTGGCGATCATGATTAATGATTATTTCGTGACTGAGATATAATGGCAGGCTGTTCAATTAGCTCCTTCAAAAAGAAAGGTGTTATTTGCCATGACTTCTTTTTCAGTGAGGTGGGGGTCCTGTTATCTCTATGCAGTCCATCCAAAAGATGGGACACGTTGTATGCCCTAGCTTGCATCTGCTTGCTCGTGTGCACCGCTGACGTAGACAAAAACATGTTGCATGAAAAATCACTTGTTTACAAAAGATTTTCCCCTCGCATATAAATGAAGGATTTCAGTGTCAGGTGGTTAGGTAATTCTGCCTAAAAAAAAAAAAAAGGTAACCGTGTGGAGTGGGCATGAAAAAGTAACTCGCACATAGAATCGGTCAGCTATATTAGCCTTTTTCGTTTAGATTTATTATTCGATTATTATTATTTTTTCTAACATTTTTATTATTATTATTATTTGATCAATTCCGCCCAAGCAAGGCGAGAATACCACTAAAACACAAGGGGCTACTGGGAGAGAATTAGAAAACTTTAGAAGGAACCCGAAACCCAATCCTAAATAGGAAACAAGTATAAACGTCTACTCCTGTTCAAAAAACCGGGAGGAGTGTAAACCGGACGATAGGCAAATCTATCTACTCCTATTGAGGAAAAATAATGAATAAAATTTCAGAGTTTAGGCGGCGATATCAGAAGTATAGAATTGAGGTCGACTTCAAAAGGAGCCGGAAACCCAAATCTAAACAGGAAACTAGTGATAAACCTCTACTCCTGTTCAAAAGACCGGAGAGGAGTGCGAACTGGACAATAGACAAACTTATCTACTCCTAGGATGACATTATTACATCACAGCTTGTCAGCTTGAAAATACAGATTTAGGTGTTGGGACACAAAAAAATTCATCAATTCACACTTTGGAAACTAAAGATTGCTTAAGATCATGTCCCCATATATATATATATATATATATATATATATATATATATAAAAGTGAACATAGAAGTCAACATTAGAGGCGACAGTCTGTTTCATGCTATATGCAATCGTCAGGCCACGTGTGCCTGACGATTGCATATAGCATGAAACAGACTGTCGCCTCTAAGTGTTGATTTCTATGTTCACTTTTATATTTACACACGCTCTATCTCTGATATTGAGCACTTTATCCCATAAATATAGCACACCTTAAGACTATATTTCTTCATATATATATATATATATATATATAGGAGTGAATACTTAATCATATGTTAAATATAACGTTTTGAGTAGAAATAATGTCGGATTATAAATAAAAAATGCATTAATTCCGTATAAATTACTTTGTTTACCTTTCAGATGCGAAATTAAAATTTAGTAGATATGGGCTGCGATCGATCTGAAGAGAAGATATGCAGTTCTTAAATAGGATAATTGAACTGTTTGACTGTGAAAGTACCCCGTAGCTTGGCGATCTAAAAGCACACCAGGGTATATGATGTTTCCCTCTACAAGGGAGGCTCAAATTCGAATCCTGCCTAAATGTTCGTTTGCTTTATAAGGTCTTTCGAGAACGTTTCGGCTGGTAGACAAAGAATTACACTGTTTTAAAAACAAGATTGTCTACTCAAACACGTATATATTTATATATAGTAAAAAATACACACACATAAGTAAACAATATAGATGTTAAGTTTTTCGGATTTAATGTGAAAAAATGTATATGTGAGAATTTTATTTTATATTTTACTCGATGAATATTAAATAGCATATGTGTGTTTCGTGAGTGATGGCTGCTTCAGTATAATCTTGATGTGAGGAAGGATAGTAGTAGTCGCTGCTCATTGGTACAAATGCGGGTGAAAAATGGAACTAACTTAATTTTACCCGTCTATCGGTTATGTCAACTTGAATCCTTTAGTTACACGCCCGCTTGTCACGTTTTTCATAAGATCCGAAGAACACAATATTTACACATATGGTAGTATTGTTACACGTGATTTTTTTCATAAAAACATCTCATAAACAACAATTTATCAAATTCATTAGTTATACATAGAAATAAATTCAACCACTGCTTTTATCTAAAGAATGCCAAACTTATTAAAAGAGAAAGTAACTTACTTAGAAGGAAAATTCTCGAGAGTGCCGCTATCGAATATTATCAAAATATAAATCTGCAACCCAAGCTTTTTCAAATATCTCCATTCCTGAAAGAATTACTCTTTTCCCAAGCCAACATAAATGACTATAAAAATGTTAAAAAATTAAAAGAAAACAATTAAATTCCTAATCTCCTTTTATTTTAAAAATGTATAATACATAAATTTACCCCATACTAAAAT